GTAGAAACAGATTTTTTAAAAATTTTACAATCTTTTTCTGGCAAGGTGAGAGAGCCGTCCCCTTACTACCTTCGCAATGCATCTGTACACCTGCCCCCCACCCCAGCCATGTTTGACGGTTGAAGTTCTTCAGATTTCCAGTGGAAAAAGCTGGGTCCATCTCCCCCAGGCTCTTCTTTCTCTCAGACTATTCTCATTTTCAAAGTCATCAAACACTAATTTCTCTGTGCTTTTCCTGCCTAGTGTTGGATACAAAGCAGCTCTGCAGGAATCACGGTCTCTAGTCCTGAGCCATTACTAAGTCTGCTAGGGACCTTGGATAAATCTTAGCCTCTCTGGACTTGCTTTCCCCATCTGTAACTCCAGGGTACAGGTCTCAATTCTGGAAGAGAATTAAGGACACTTCCAGCCACTTTTGGGGAGGGGATTAGACATAGACTCTGATTGTATGTGTGTGTGTGTTGGGGGTGCTCAAACCCAGGGTCTTATACATACCAAGCATGAGCTCTGCCACTGAGCTATATCCCTAACCCAATAGACTTAAAAAATTTATTTGTACCGGGGATTGAACCCAAGGGTGCTTAACCACTGAGCCACAAACCCCAACACCTTTTGTTTTTTTATTTTGGGATGGGGTCTAAGTTGCTTAGGGCCTTACTAAATTACTGAGGCTGGCTTTGAGATCCCCCTGCCTCAGCCTCTCAAGCCACTGGGAAAAAAGGCATATGCTACCATGTCCAGCAAGACATTAATTTTTGAGTGGTTTTAGATTTACAGAAAAATTCATTAGGAGGTACAGAGTTCTTATATATATATATACCTTTCACAATTCCCCATTTCCTCTATAATTAGTATCTCAGTGTGGCATCTTTATTTTAATTGATGAGCAAATACTGACTTATTACTAAAGTCTATAGTTGACATCAAAGCTATTTGTTATGTATAGTCTATGGGTTTTGACAAATCTATGACATACATCTACCATTATGGTATCATACAATATAATTTACCCACTGTTTATCACTAAATATTTATCCCTGCTGTTCATTTCTATCCCTTATCCCCAATCTCTAGCAACTACTGTTCTTATCGTCCTAGTTTCGCTTGTTTTTTTACGATCTCATAGAATTAGTTCTAAATTTTTATTTTTATTATTATGATGATGATGATTCTTGTTGTGGTACTGGGGATTAACTCAGGGCTTTGTACATGCTAGGCAAGCACTGTACCACTGAGCTACATCCCCAGCCTGGATGTCATATATTTTGACTCATAAAATATGGATCTTTCTCAGTTTGGTTTCTTTCCCTCAGCAATATGTATCTAAGGTTCCTCAGAATATGACTTGATAGCTCACTTTTTTAAATCACTAAATATTTCATTATATGGATGTACCAGTTTGTTTATGCATTCACCTGTTGAAGGACATCTTGGTTGCTTGCAAGTTTTGGCAGTTATGAGTAAGGTTTCTAAAAACATTTGTGTGTAGGTTTTTGTGTGAATGTTTCCAAACTCATTTGGGTAAATTGTATTCCTTTTTAACTTTTGGCTTATGTATGTGTATTCCCATGTATTTCTAAAACTGTACATAAGCCAGGCAAGGTTGTCCATGCCTGTAATCCCAGCAACTCCAGAGGCAAAGACAAGAGGATAACAAGTTCAAGGCCAGTCTCTGCAATTTAGCAAGACCAGCTCAAAAAAAAAAAAAAAAAAAAAAAAAAAGAAAGAAAAAGAAAAAGAAAGAAAAAAAAATAAGAAAGAAAAAAAGTTAAAGTACTGGAGGATGTAGCTCAGTGGTAAAGCACCCCTGAGTTCCATCCCTAGTTCCACAAATAAATAAATAAAATGTAAGCCAAGTACAGTAGTCTATGATTATAGTCCTAGTTACTCAGGAGGCTGAAGTAGGAGGACCAATTTGAGCCCAGGAATATGAGATCAGGCTGGGCAAAACAGTAAGACTGAGTACAGTAGTGTACACCTATAATCCCAGTGACCAGGGAGCCTGAGGCAGGAGGATCACATCTTCAAGGCCAGCCTCAGCAAATTAGCAAGGCCCTAAGCAATTATCAAGATCCTGTCTCAAAAAGGACTGGGGATGTAGCTCAGTGGTAAAGCACACCGTGGGGTCAATCCCCAGTACCCCAAATCAAAATAAAACTCATGTTGGAGTTTAATACCCATTGTGAGGAATAAAGAGAGTGAAATGGCCTGGCACACTGGCTCTCGCCTTTAATCCCAGCAGCTCAGGAGGCTGATCCTGAAGATCTCAAGTTCAAAGCCAGCCTCAGCAAAAGTGAGGTGCTAAGCAACTACTCGTAACTCAGTGAGAACCTGTCTCAAAATAAAATACAAAATAGGCTAGGGATGTGGCTCCATGGTTGAGTGTCCCTGAATTCAATCCCCGGTACTCCCCCACCCCCCCAAAAAAGAGGGTGAAATGGAAACAGCTGAGTTTAGTGGCACTCACCTTTAATCTATGACTTGGGAGGCTTAGGCAAGAGGATTCTAACTTGGTAGCCAGCTTGGGCAATTATGGTGTTTAGGGGAAGTGATTAGAATAAAGTCTCACAATGTTATATTACCAAGCTATAAAAAAGAATGAGGGGCTGAGGCTCAGTGGTAGCGCACTTGCCTGGTATGTGTGAGGCACTGGGTTCAAATCTCAGCAACATGTATAAATAAATTTAAAAAAAAAAGATCAACAACTAAAATATATAGAATGAAATTATGGCATTTGCCAGTAAATGGATGGAACTGGAGAATATCATGCTCTTTGAAATAAGCCAATCCAAAAAACCAAAGGCCAAATGTTCTGATATTGTGATAACACACAATAAGGGGGTGGGGAGAGGGAAGAATAGAAGTTCATTGGATTAGACAAAGGGGGAATGCAGGGAAGGGAGGAAGGATAGGAAAAGGAAAGACAGTAGAATAAATCAGATATAACTTTCCTATATTCATATATGAATACACAACTAGTGTGTTCACATCATGTACAACCACAAGAATGGGAAGTTCTACTCCATGTATATATGTCAAAATATATTATATTGTCATGTATAACTAAAAAGAACAAATAAAAAATTTTAAAAATCCAAATTAAATACTGGTGGTATTGTAGGAAGAGGGAAGGCTGGGCCATAGTTCAATGGCAGAGGGCTTGCCTAGCCTGTGTGAGGCCTTTGATGGATCTTCAACAGCACATAACACACACAGAGGGGTTGGAAGAGACCAGAACACATACCTGTGTGCATCCCCCAACCATGTGATACCCTGTACCACCTCTATACTAGGCTGGCAAGGCCATCACCAAAACCAGTGGTTCCTTGGTTGGACCTCTCAGAACTCAAAGTAAAAACAAAATAAAACAAAACAAAAAATCCACTGCTTTTTCTTTAACTTCCTGTTTGTGGATCACTGGTTTAATATAGAGAAATGGTAAGATTCCTTGTGACCATTTTTACAAACAACCCATCACATTTAAAAAAAAATTAAAACACTATGAATTCGCGCTTGGGGTAGTAGCTGCACGTTGGAGCAGTTGTCAAGCACGCATGAGGCCCTGAATTGGATCCCCAGCATCACAAAGTATGTCCATACAACATGTATGTGAATATTGTGACTTTATTCATGATCATAAATTACTGTATACACACCAAATGCATTTCAAAGGGTGAATGTAAGGATACACCAATATACCAATACATTGGAATACTAGTTAATAATAATCACTGAGTTATGATATTAGATATTGTGTTAAGAAGCCAGACTCAGGGCTGGGAATGTGGCTCAGTGGTAGAGGGCTCCCCTAGCATGGGCGGGACCCGGGTTTGATCCTCAGCACCACATAAAAATAAAAGGCATTGTGTTGTGTCCATCTACACCTAAAAAAGAATTAAAAAAAAAAGCCAGACTCAAAAAGCTACCTAAGTAATGACACTTTAGAAAAAGGCAAAAACTATATGAACTGAAATTTGATCACTGGTTGCCAGGACTAACAGCTGACTATGTAATTACTTGAAGGAAGATTATGAGGTGATGGAAATTCTTTTCGTGATCCTTTCATAGAATTGTGGTCAAAAAGGATTAATTTTGCCATTATGTAATATATATCAATAAAACTGAATTAGGAAGCTGGGGTTGTGGATCAGTGGTAGAGAACTTGCCTAGAATGTAAGGCACTGGGTTCAATCCTCAGCACCACATATAAATGCCCATCAATATCTAAAAAAAAAAAATACTTAAAAAACCAAACTGATTTAGAGGGTCACTCTCATACATTATCAGGCACATAGAGTGGTACAACTAGAGGGTAGTCTGTGACCACCTACCAAGTAAAAAATGCAAAAATCCTTTGATCCAGCAAAAAACAATTACTGGGGAATTTGTTCTACACAGACTTGCCTCTCTCTCTATATATATATACTTCTGATTATTTTAGTGCAACACTCATATAATCAGAAATTATGGAACATTAGCTATCCATAGGATGGAATACTAAACTAGGGGCATTTTTTGTAAAATAATCAAAATCTATCTACTGTTCAATAGTATACAAAGCATACACCTTCTAGGCTATAAAAATAACTGACTCATTGGCTATTTGTTTGGATTGTAGACACAAAAGACTATTATGCCTATGGCTGGGGGGCTGAGAGTTGAGCACTAGAGAGACGGATGGGTAGTAACTGGAGGGGTGGACAGTGTATGGTTTCTTATTGTGCATGGTTTAGCATTGATATTCAGGCTGATTAGTAATGTGAGCTGACATTGGGGGAGGTTGGTGAAAAACAAACCAGTACTAAGGATAAATCTGAAGCCAAAGGGCTCTTCCAAGGCCCAGGAGGTTGCGGTTCCACTCCCCAGAGGGGGTCTCCTCCAATCCCACCCTACACCAGAGGCAAAACCCCATCACACCAGCAGGGTCATGCCCTACCTCCAGGAAGGTTAGAATTTGTCTAAAGACCAACGTAAAGAGAATAAAATAAAAAGGACACAAATAAAATGTATCAGTTATTTAATTAGGTTCTTGTAAGAAATTCAGAATACCAATTTGTGAGGATAAATTCCATTTGTTAGAGCAAAAACGGATCGCATGTAGCCCTGGAGCTGAGGGATAGCTTTGATTTTGGGTAGAATTTGTGTGTCCACAGCTTTCTGATCAACCTTGCGCTGCTCTGTGATCTCATATTTCTAAAGAGAAAATGAGACATTTAAAAAAGGTTATTATTACCAAGTTACAAATACAATGCTTAGCCCTCGATCCCCATCCCCCAAGTGCTGTCACAAGTGACAAGAGAAAAGAACTGTACCTCTTTCTCTGTGTCGAAGATTTCACCTTCCTGGTGTCTGGGCTTCCTCAACTTCTTCTTCTTGAAGTAAGCATCAGTGAGATGTTTTGGGATTTTCACGTTGCTGATATCAATCTTTGTGGAGGTGGCGATAACAAATTTCTGGTGTGTTCTACGCAGAGGAACTCGATTGAGGGAAAGAGGTCCTAAAGAAAACATTAATAAGGTAAAATGGAAACAATTATTGATTTTAACTTGGCATTAATCCTGATTTAGAAAAATTCTCAACTGTACCAGAATCTAGAATGTTCTAGTATCTGTCTGTCCAGGGCCTTTGCCCCCTCAAATCTTTTCAGGTGACCCAGGATGGTAAAAGAAATGTCGCTTACTTATACAGGTTGATCAAAACCATGGGTTTTTTGTTTACTTTGGTACCAGGGATTGAATCCAGGAGCACTTAACCACTAAGCCACATCCCAGCCCTTTTGCCTGGCTCATTCGGTATTTTAGACGAAAGTTATTTGATATGTTGCTACAAAAATTTAAATACTTGCCCCCTTTATCTCACATATATAAGGCAATGAAATGAGAACCAGAAGCTCAACATTAAGAAACTACAGCATAAATAGCAGAAACACATATACTGCAAATGTTTCAAAATCTGTTCAGAACATAAAAATCTACGGATTTTCTTACCTGTCACAAGTAGCAAGCCACTGCTCAGCTGCTTCAGGAAAACCACTCTCTATAAGTTAAACAAAAGATATTTTTTCCAATTAAAAACTGACTTGTGGGGCTGGGGATGTGGCTTAAGCGGTAGCGCGCTCGCCTGGCATGCGTGCGGCCTGGGTTCGAGCCTCAGCACCACATACAAACAAAGATGTTGTGTCCGCCGAGAACTAAAAAATAAATATTAAAAAAAAATTCTCTCTCTCTCAAAAAAAAAAAAACTGACTTGTGAAGGCTAAAAATATAGCTCAGTTATTAAGAGTGCTTGTCTTGTACACACAAGGCCCTGGGCTCAATCCTTAGAACCACAAAAAACTGACTTCTGAATTAACCACATCACAAGCCACCCAAATTTGGTAGCTCAGCAGTTCTGGAAGCAATCACACTAGGCTAACTTATGGATAGGTGTCATCTGTAATGATGGTAGAAATAAGTTACTTATACTGGTTAAATCATACTGTATTAGGCACTCTGCTTACCTTGCCTCTGTGGCGCCCGGTGAGGATGATCAGGATGGTCCCAGGAGTGATGCTGGCTCGAAGCTTTCTCACATGCTGACTGAAGGGTTTCTTGCCATGGCTCAACAGCTTCCGTGGCACATCTTCAGTCGGGTAGTATCTAGGCTAGAGACAGTTCATGGACTCCACTTACCTTAAGTAAACCATTAGATCAGAAGAGCCAAATCTGGTATCATGGAAACATTGCTAATCTTTTTCCTTGTTTGAAACTCAAATGCTTTAGTTACATCCTTCTCTTTTCATCTTCCAAAACAGACTTTAAATTTAGAAAAGCTCACATCTTCTATGTACAAAGCATAGGATTTAACACAAGAGTGTTCAAGAAAAGAAAACTGTAAGCAGGTCACCTGTTTAGACTTTGGAAACAGAGATGCCTGGCAAGCTACCCTACACAGCTTTAAGGGAGCCATTCTCACACAAGCTTTTCCACCTCTTCAGGGTCACTGACCTCTAATACAAACTCCTTCAGAAAGCATTTCAGACATACTATACTATATTTTATATGTACTAAGAGGGGGCAAGCCCAAATAAAAAAAGTGGGAGATGAAGCTTGTTTTCTAGTTGAAATCAAGTATGACATCCTCACGGCAACAGGTCTCACTCCTCTTTTATTCACAAAGGAATCCAGGGCTTTCTTTGTGCATGTTATGCAAGAGCCCAACCACTGAGCCCAATCCAGTATAAGTAACTTATTTCATGCAGTCTCACTTTCACCATAAACCTATCAGAAACAAAGCTCAGGAAAGTTAACTCAACTTACATCAGATGTAGTAAATGTTTTGAAGACAACTTTGCAAAACCAGAACCTTTATCTTCAACTAGCAATCCTCTGGCAAGCAGGAGCTTATGTGTTATTTAAGTGCACAAGAACATCGTTAAATTTTCAACTTTAATCTAAAAATCCCATTTCACAGCCTCCCCCAAATCTCACCATTTTGCGAAGCTTAACCACCCTGGTACCACCATTCTTGTCACCACCGACTGGTTTTGTAACAGTAGCAAGAACCTTCTCCTTTTTCTTCTTCTCAACCTACAAAGACAAATGCATCAAAAAGTCAGAGACAGAATGAACGCCAAGACATAATGGTTATTGGTTTTCTTCTTTCCATACCTTGGACTTAGCAGCAGTGTACTTCCTCTTATACATGGCCTTTCGGGAGTACATGGCAGATCGGGAGTATCTGCCAATTCCTCTAACCAGGACAGGGTTCCTGCTGCAGTGGGGTTTTCCTTTCTTGGGTTTCTTATCCGTAGAGTCTTCCTTTTTATCCTTGCCAACAGCATCAGCTTTCTTGGCTCCAGGTTTCTTCTCCTTAGTGTCTGGCTTCTCAGCCTTTTCACCTGCCATCTACCAAAAAAAAAAAAAAAAAAAAAAGGCTTTTCACCAATCACCCCAAAACAAGGCAATATTAAAACTGCACATAGATGGGCTGGGCTTCCCTTCTACAAGCCTTCCCCCATAAGATATTGGCTTTCTCCCCCAACTCCACACTAACCCATATTAGGGTCCCCCTGCCAACAGACTAAACTTTTGAGAATTTGCAAATTTACACCCGTTGGATTTTTGCTAAATATCCGGAGAGACCTACTTTAGTATTACTGTTTTGCAAACTTAAAAACTTAGGAGTCTTCAACAAAATTTGCAAATTTCGGAAGCGGCGAGTACAGAGCTTGAAATCGTTTGCTTTCAAAATCTTTGCTCCCACGTCTTAAGACCCCTGTCTCAGTCAACAAATTCGGTTTAGGGAAATGACAGCTCAAACTCGGGTCATTCCCGAAGACATAAACTCCACGACTAAGAAGCGACTTCCGGTCGGGGACGTGGGGGAAAACGCGAGAGCAACCGGCTTCAGCCTCAAACCTCAACGTGGCCGAGACAAGCTCAGCTGCATATTTTGTGACCCGAGCTCAGGACGCCAGAGCGAACGCTGTTGCCCCGTCCCTCTGGGCCCACCAGCTCGCTCTGGCAGCCCACACGGACCCCGGTTCCCCAGCCCCAGAGCGTGGGGAACAGCCGTAGCCTCCACCGCATTCCACCTCACTTTTCGCTCCCCGCCGCCAATCCAGGTCAAAAAAATAAAGCGTCTGGAAGGCCTCTCAGTTGACCCTGAGCATGCTAGACCCCTGTAGGTGTCGACTTAACGTTCTCAGGTTTCGGATGGCGAAGGATTGAGGTCTTAAAATTCAGTCTTCCCAAGAGAGCCGCCTTTCTTACCTTGCAAGATGGGAAAAAGAACTAAGTAGTGGGCTTCCGGTCTATATGCAATGACGGCAGTGGTCTCGTCTCACTTCCTTCCTGTACTAGGGCATCGTGGGAAATGTAGTTTCTCCTGCATCTTGGGATATGTAGTAAGTCCTATACAGGGAATTATTTTTTCTATTAAGAAGTGTAGGTGGTCCGGAGGCTGAGGCAGGATGATCGCAAGCTCAAAGCCAGTCTCAGCAAGAGCGAGGCGGTAAGCAACTCAGTGAGACCTTGTCTCTAAATAAAATACAAAATAGGGCTGGGGATGTGGTTCAAGCTGTAGCGCGCTCGCCTGGCATGCGTGCGGCCCGGGTTGGATCCACAAAGAAAAAAAACAAGTATTACTGACTTGCTTTTAATTCAGTTTTAACCTTTAAACTTTTTTTCCCAGGGATTGAATTCAGGGGCGCTCAACCCCACTGAGCCACATCCCCCAGCCTATTTTAGATTTTATTTAGAGACAGGGTCTCACTGAGAGTGCTTAGTGCTTCGTCATTGCTGAGGCTGGCTTTGAACTCGCCATTCTTCTGTTTCAGCCTCCCTAGCCACTGGGATCACAAGCGTGCACCACCATGCCAACTGACCTTTAAACTTTTAAACGTGGAAATCAACCAGGTGAGGATGTAGTGAAAATAATTTTTCAACACTTTTTTTTTTTTCTTTTTGGTATCAGTGATTGAACCCAGGAGCACTTAACCACTGAACACCACATCCACAGCCTATTTTGTACTTTAATTTTTTTAAAAAATATTTTTTAGTTGTCAGTGAATCTTTTATTTTATTTATGTATATGTGGTGCTGAGGATCAAACCCAGGGCCTCAGGCAAGTGAGGCCAGGCAAGTGCTTTATCACGGAGCCACAACTCCCTCCCCCTTTTTAATTTTTTTTTTTTGAGACAGGGTCTTGCTAAATTGCTGAGGCTGACTTTGAACTTGTGGTCTTCTTACCTCAGCCTTCCAAGCCACCGGCATTACAGGTGTTTGCCACCACTCCTGGCTTCTCAATACTTTTATGCAAACTTAAATCCAAGTTCTTTGTAGTAAAACTGACTCTTAATTTTAAAAAGTTTTTTTTTTTTTTTTTTTTTTTGGTACTGAGGATTGAGCTCAGGGGCACTTTATCACTGAGCCACTTCCCCAGCTGTTTTGTTTGTTTGATTTGTGACAGGGTCTCACTAAATTGCCTAGGACTTTGCTAAATTGCTGAGTCTGGCCTCAAACTTGTGATTCTCCTGCCTTAGCCTCCCAAGTTGCTGGGATTACAGGTGTGCACCATTGCACCCAGCTACAAGGTTACTTCTGAGTTTGAAAATTTTTCTCTCTGGTTTCCTATGTATGCCTCCATTCAATCTTGGCTGCCACACTCAGATAAGACAGTGCTGCAACACTTTTTTTTTTTTTTTTTTTTAAGCCTCTGTACTGGAAGCCTTAACATCAGACAGTCAGTGCTCCAGGTCTGTCAAAAAGATGCACAGACCATTAAAATTCTTAAAGTACTATTAGGAACCAACATAAGGTTACAACTTTTTGTTTTGCTCATTAAGAACTTAAGGCAACAGTGTCAGAGGTAGCATTGGGGCAGGCCCCAAATGGCTATAGTTAGGCTCCCTTGCCGAGGCTTCCAGTGAGCCATGTTATGCTTTTAATGTATGACTGAGGCCATGAATCAGCTGTTATGATCAGTGTGTACTCAAGGTCAGAAACATTTGCTTGTGAGCAGATACCCGCTTCTGTAACCTGTTAGCAGTGTGCCGTCTTTGGCCTCTATATAAAAAAAGGCCTATGGAAAAGGCTCAGGGTTCTGGCTAGGGTCAATTGCCACCTCTCAATAGAGGATGACCAATATGCCCACCATGCCTCTCATCTTCTTTCAACTGCCAGATTCCCAAACCTTGTTTCCCAGGCCTGAGCCTTGCTTTCAGTGTGAAAATTGGCATAGTCAGCAGGCTTCAGCCCAGGTAAGAGATACATTGACCCTGTGGGGCAAGGGGGGAACCTGTGGCCACCAGGTAGTATGTGGTCACCACAGTCATATTGAAATGGGCTCCTATGGAGAATTGGGATACCATGGATGGGTCACCTGTGAATGCAAAGGAACCTTTGCAAACGTTGAGTTCCAGCTTAAAAGACAGTGTTGCCCAGGAAGCAGCGGGACAAGAGGGGTGGATTTTTCTCCCTGCTTTGAAAACCAACACAGACCAGGCTCTACCAGAAGCTGCCCAGCTCCAGGCCCTCCAGGGGAAGCAGGAAGCCTTGAAGCAGCGCATTTGCGGTTTGGAAGCTGATATATATGAAACAGGCAGGACCTCGACCTTGTAGGTCACGGTGGAATCTGAAGAAGAGTCTGAGGAGAAGCCCTGGCTACAAGCCCACCCCACGATGCAGAAGATGAGACATGAGCAGCCCCAGAACCTTGGAGGTCAGGCACTGGGAGAGGCAAATGCTACAGAGTACACTACATACTGGCCAGACACACAGGCAGAATAAGTGGACTTGGGCAAGCAGTGTCACCAGCAGCTTGGGGAGTCCCTGGCTGTGTGGTTTTTGTGATTGTGGGATCTAGGGGTGGACAGCATGGTCTGCTGTCCAGAGGAGATGGAGCACCTGGCATCCATCACAACCCACCCTTCCCTGAGACAGCCATCGCAGAACAGTTGCAGGCCTGGAAATGGAATCGCTCCCCAATAGACTGGGGATGTATGCAGCTGTGCGAGCTGTGTGGACTGAGGCTGGTGAGCTGCCCAAAACTGTGAGTAAGTGGCAGTCGTGTGTCGATTTGGTGCAGATTCTATATGAGTGTGGCATGCGTCAGGCGATATTTAATCTGAATACATGGGGACCAGATGGTGAAAGATTTACTGGTGGCATTAGAGACTTGGTTTTGTAGAATGCTCCACTCTCCACTTTGATGGTTACTTTAAGCCACATATGTTGGATGTCCCATTAATGAAGTTAGTACTATGATGGCTAGCTTGGGGGAAGCCAAGGAGGGCAGAGGGTAGTAAAAAAAATGCACATGGTGGCGCATGCCTGTAATCTCAGTGGCTCGGGAGGCTGCAGCAGGAGGATTGTGAGTTCAAAGTCAGCCTCAGCAACTTAGTGAGGCCCTAAGCAACTCAGTGAGACCCTGTCTCTAAATAAAATACCAAATAGGGCTGGGATGTGGCTCAGTGGTTGAGTGCCCCTGAGTTCAATTCCCAGTGCCAAAAAAAAAAAAGGTGGGGGGGTACAATGAGAGGGGTCTGGAAACAAGGTAAACAAAGGAAAAAAGGGCCTGCTAGAGTCACTTGTATGCATATGTGGGCAGGTCTCCTGACAGGAGGGGTAGATCACCTCAAGACAGACAGTCAGCCCAATGCAGTCCTCCCTGAGCAACTGGGCCCAAAGCAGCAAAACCTGCGAACAGCAGAGGTGAATAAGCCACCCTGAGAAGCCATCCTGTGTAACTGAAAGACTACTTGGCTGCTTCTAAGGGGGAGAAGGGACTTTGGTCCAGTACATCTAGGAATCCAGCTAAGGTGCCTGCCCTGCGGGGACAGGTGGGGACTGATAGCCACATGTGGAGCTTGCTATCCATGGTCTCCAAACTATATGCAGAGGGAATTGGCCTTGTTGGGGGGGCGGGTCCTGGAGCTGAGTGCAGCTTGGTGTTTGACAACCTGGATAAATTCCCAGGTCCATATGCTCATATTGATGGCTATGGGGGACAGACCATCAAGGTAAAGCCAGTGTCCTTACCACGGGGGATAGGTCATTTGCCCCTGTGAGCATATACGGTACAAGTGTCTGGTATCCCAGAGTATATTTTGGGTAGAGATGTGTTCCAAGGTCCACTGCTGCAGACCCTGGTGGCAATTCTGCCTCCATGTGTGAGATGTGAAGGTGGATATGACAGGATATGCAAAACACCCGCCCCAGGTCTTGCCACAACCCTGGAGGACTGTGACAGTGAAACAGTATTGCCTCATGGGGGACATGCAGAAATTGAAGCTACTGTGCCAGGCATGGTGGCGCATGTCTGTAATCCCAGCGACTCAGGAGGCTGAGGCAGGAGGATCACGAGTTCAAAGCCAGCCTCAGCGATGTCAAGGCACTAAGCAACT